TGGTGTGAAGGAAGTATGTATTAATTTTCTTTGCAAACTATATACACTTCAGTCCATATATACACAGCATTTTATATATAGATTCAGGCCTTCTGAGGACCCAAGATTCATCCTCTAAACTTAAACCCAATTCAAATAACTGTGAAGCCTTGAGGCTGAATTAGGCTGAAGGAATCACCACTCTCTATTTTGATAGCACTTCATTTATATCTTATATTCGTTACTACAATGATTGCATTTCTCTCTTCTGTACTAGACAGTGACCTCTCTTTTTCTTTCCCTTGAATACCAAGCACGCAGCACAAAACTGAGCCAATATGCTTTGTATTTAGAAATTGATCAAATAATTGAATGAGTTAGGTTGGACTGGAAAATTCCATGGGAATAAGGGCCCTTTCTATTTTTACTGGCTACTCTATGCCCAGCTCTTAACACAGTGCCTGCCACATAGGAGGGGTTTTGTGAATATTTGCTGCTTAAACATTGGGAGGCTTTAGCTTTGTTCACAGAAAGAGACTCATGTATAGAACTCTAAGGAGACTTTGTGAACAAGTATGATGTACTTTATACCAACTTAATCTTTGGTGCAAAAATGAAAAATAGATATCCCTAACTGTTCTAACCTTCTATCTCAGTTAAACGGTTTGTATCCTTCCTTCCACTTTCCCCACCCATCCTACAACTCACCCATCCCACATCTTATAGTTTATATAGTTATCTTCTTATTATCATACTACGTGAGCTTTCAATTCCATTCTTTTTTAAAGATGTTATTGGGGAATCAGGGGAAGGGGAACAGACAAGTTGCTGCCCTTTTGTTCTTCAGTCTAGTTGTGGAGGACGTTGCTTCACTGGCCCATGTTGGTATTATCATTGCGCTCTTCCTGGGTGAGGCAGATCGGTCGCTGGCCTCTGGACGGCCACTCACGGTGGCTCTTGGCAGCTCACACCAGCTGCTGGACGCTCACACTGGCTGCCAGCCACACAGGGTAGCTTATGGTAGCCCACTGCAGCAGGGGCTGCAGCCTACGCCATCACTGGTGACTCACAGAGCTCCAGGTCGAGCTGTTGTTCACCATCTTAGCTGTAGAGAACAGTGTCACTGGCCCTCATGTGGGATCCAAACTGGGGGCCCTGCTGCTCAGAGTTGGCATCTTAAGCCAGTTCTTAACCAATGCACCACTCAGCTGGCCCTCAATTCCATTCTTGTGCAGTTGCTTCTCTCATTCATATTTTTTATCATGCGACACAAATGTGTTGAGCATTTACTACGTGCCATGCATTTGGTTAGTTGCTGGCTATGCAGATACTGTACTCACTTGTCCACCACTTGCCCTCATAGGAGTACATTTGCTAGCGGAAGAGCTAAACATGAAAAGAGATTATTATAATAAAGTTGGTTAAATACTAACACGGAGGTGAAAACGCTATGACATATCAGGGGAGTTTTTCACCACTCTTTCCCATACCTGGAGAGTAGCTCTCCCATGCCTCCCCTCCTAGTTAATACCTGTTAATATTCTACTTATCCTTTAAGAGCCAGCTCAAATCTTCTTTCCCCATGAACTTTTTCTAAAGACTTTATGTTTGACCTTCTTCCCCCCACCCCAAAATGCTTTTCATAGTATTTGTTGCAATCCTCCACTAGACCGTGCATGCCTATAAGTTAGGAACTGTGCCCTTTCCATTTTCTTGTGCCCTCACAGTTCTTGAATGGTGTATTGAATGGAAACATTTGCCCTTAGTCATGACATCCTCCCACTCAAAACCCACACCTCACCACATGATATATTTCCTCTCAAGGATTTCAGTCATTTTGTGTGCTGTTTTTAACCTACATATTATGGACGGTTGCCACGGCTACCATTATGTGGTTGAAAAGTTGCTCTCCTGTTGAACTTCTCTCTTTTGAATTCAGAATAAGGAACTGATGGATCAACTAAATGGATGATTTGTCTTCTATTCATACAAGTGTTTGTTTCATAGTGGAAATCCACTTACTGTTAAGCTATTTCTTGTTTGGAAACATGGTTTTCTTTGTTTGTTTTTGTTTTTTTTAATTCTGTGGGTATCTAGATTTTTGTTCCCATCTCTCTTTTTCTTCCTGTATTCCAAATAAATGATTTTGAAATCATTTGGAAATCTTGCAGGCTTTATTTTCAGGAATAGTTTATTATATTTAAAATAATCTGTGTGTCTCAGGTACATGTACCGAGGAGTCTAGAGGCGCATCAGCTCATCACACACTATAGGCCAAAGTTAGTGGTTATTCATAGCTTGACAATGCCTTGAGGTCACCTGCACCACACACATGCATACTTAAAATGTAAAATATTTTCTTTTCTTGCATGCTATAGGTCTGATAGCTTTAAAACATATTTTTTTCTTTTCTTTTTCTTTTGCTTAAAACTAGTTAATTTAACAATTTTGAATGGTCAGCCTTTTCTTAATAGCAGACTAAACCCCAAACTTGACCTTTGCTTTTGTGAAATATTTCTCAATTTGAAATATTTTTCTAAATAAAGGAGTTCCAAGACAAACCTGTCGCTGGCCTACATCTTTATCCAACCTTGTGGAAAGAAGAGAAAATCCACAGAGAAAGCAGACTCACACCACTGACACACATGCCCAATGAATAGCCTTAAGCATATCCAGACCAAATTCCAAATTCATCCTCACGGCTTTGGAATAAGATGAAGAGAAAGTAGTGGGCTACAAGAGGTTGACACACACCTATTTTGTACCATTTTCCTTTCTATTTAGATGTGTCTGATTCTATTTATGTTAATGATATGTTTATGAGAACTGACCCATTGTATTATTCTATGCTGTATTCTCAGAACCTCAAACAGTGCCTGGAATATGGTTTATTGATTAATACTCAAGGATGAGAGAATGAATGAGTGAGTGGGTGAATGAATGAATGAAAATATTTTCAGTCAGAAGCATTTTTTAAAAAATATTTGAAGCACCTGTTATGAATCTTAAGATGATGTGTTTTAAATAGTTGTGGTTTTTTTGCATAAATTATAATTAGCAAGTTAAAAAAGTTTCTTTCAATTATTTTTAATCATTGCTATTTACAAGTTCAGTACTAATAGCTAACTTCTCATCCTGAAAAGTATGCTTTTCCGGTTTACCACCAACTGCAGGTGTCAGCCTCAGATAAGTGATAAAACCACAGCACACTATTAGCACTGGAAGTGGTCCAGGTGTGACATGTGGGCAGGACCACAGTATAGGGTAAGGTGACAGTGTCAGGAGGGATCAAAAGCAAGGGCCTCAAAACAGGTAGATCTAGGTTCAGATTCCTGCTGACACTGCCTAGCTCTTTGACAACGGCAATTACTTAACCTTTCTGGGCCTTTGTATCCTTGTCTATCAAATGGGCATAACAGCATTCCAAACAGCCTCAACTAACTGCTGAGGAGAAGTGTTCATTCTTGATTAAGAAGCTATTAGAAGACCTTTATTCAGCTGTGTGGAAGGAAACCTGAGTTTTAGCTCTGCACTGTGGTATCTCAAATATTTCTTTATCTTTAAGAACAGCTACGCTAACAAATGAAAGAAGAAAATAGCTTTGAACTGTTTAAATGGAAGGTGTCACAAAAATGAAACAGAATTCTATAGATAGTCTAAACTCAATTTAAACCAAATCTGACGTAAATTCTTTGTAAGAGCATAGGCTTTTGTGGTCTTATACTTTGCGATAACCTAAGAGTATTGAAATATTTTGCTGATGTGACAAGTGCCTAAAAGCACTTTTATCAAAACAGGATAAACTGCATTTAGAAGATAACTTAACTGAACATATATCATCTTCCTTGTGATGATCATCCCCTTGAATCAAATGTTTAGTGCTGTACTTAAAAGATGCATTTCCTGTTACAAAGAATTACAAAATGTGCCACTTAGTGTAACTGTCATATTTCAAAACACATGCTCCAGGAATTGAAGAAACTTTAAGTGTGTAAGAATTAAAGTTAAATATGTGAATACAGGAAATTGACAGTACAAGCAAATAATAGACTCCCAGAATTTTAAAGATCTAGAGGACCTTAGAGATACCTAATCCTTTTGACATAAATTATTGGTTTTTAAAAGAAAAACAAACACAAAATTTTTCCAAAAGTAAATGTTCATCATACGTTTTGGTCACAGATGATTATACCAGGTTTTTTTTTCTCTAAAAGAAAATAAATACATACATACATACATACATACATACATACATACATACATACATAAAACAATATGACCAGTTAGTGGGATCAAAAGAGTCAAACAGGATTCTGATTATATTAAATGAGATATTTCAATCTCAGTTTTTTTTTTTTTAATCAGCAGAGTGATATGGAGCAGAACTAGCTCAACTCTTGGTAAGACTCATAAAATATATTTTATTTTTTAGATTCTGGAGTCTATGATATCCAGTTGCAACAAATAGGATATGTAGAAGAAAAATACAAAAATTTGGAAATAACTGATATAGTGATTCAACAGCGTGATCAAGAATGCCAGAATCAGACATCTAAATCGAGGCCCAATTGTCAAGAAGAGTGACTGGATTCCTGAATTAATATAAACAGTGAAGAAATGTAGAAAAATGAAAAAATAATTGTTTTTTGTGCTTTTTTGTTTAATAGCAGAGCAAGCAATTTTTTTTTTTAAGTTGGCTTAGTTCTTTTTCAAAACTTCAACTTTGCTTCACTATTAACATGAGATTCCCAGAATTCAAATATTGGATCCTGAGAAAGGAAGCTGGTACATTTGAATTTGTATCTCAGTTTAGAACTTTAATTTTCTTTTGCAGAAAAGACAATGAAACTTATTGCATTCACTCTTTACAGAAACAACATCAAATACTTGAGCAAAACAGTTTTGTAAAAGGTGTGGCCAGCATAGATATTTGTCTGTTCTGTGTAAAATTAGAGGTGTGCATGCGCTTGCATATTTTCTATGCATGTATCTAAATAGTAAACATCTTTTACTTCCCCTAGGGCTGTCAGAAAATACACAACTTTAATAATGTGATGCCTGAAGACATGGACTTGAATTTTTACTTAGCCATGGTTTCAAATAACGCAGAGTATACATGTGTTGTTACGTATCCAGAAAATGGGCGTACATTCCATCTCACCAGGACTCTGACGGTAAAGGTGGTAGGTAAGCATGAGTTGCATTAAGTGCACACAACAAAAATGTAATAATCTTGTATTGGCTCTGAATAGTTTATTACAAACAAGCGTGTAAGGTCTATAAGAAAAGAGGCTTCCCTTTTTGGTTCACTGAACTATCCCCAGAGCCTTCTGCAATTCCAGGGACATAGTAAACATTCAATAACCACTGGTCTACTGAATTAATATGTGACTAAATGAAGCCAAGGTCAGTTTGGGCAATAAAAGGAGTGCCAGACATATCTGTGTTTAATCTGTGTTCGAACCACTGCCGTTTATTATCAATATGATTTTCGTCAGTCTCAGTCTCCTTACCTGTACTATAGGACTTAGACTACCTAACATTCAAGATAGCTGAGAATATTAGAAATAATATACATATTCTGCTAATGCAGTTCCAGGCGAGCGGTAGAGACTCAGTGAATAGTAGTTAATATGATCAAAAAAGTGATTTACTCGAGTTAGGTAAACTGTGTATTATTTCCATGTACTGGAATCGTTGTAGTTAAGTCTGAAGGTATTTGCAGGTAGTGTTCAAACATTGCTTTGCACTAAGATAAGGGGATGAGAAAACAGGGACATGGAAAGGACAGTGTCTAGGCAGAGATGACAGACTCCTATGAAATGCAAAACCAAGAGAACCAGTGTCAGGATAGGCAGTATTTAGAGGAGAGCCCTAAATACCACTGTGCCCACTGTATTTAAAATGAGAGCGTATCAAGACTGAGATTTTGTCAAACCCCATCTTTTACTAGATGGAAACACTGAGTCCCAACAACAGAAAGTAACCAATTTAGAGACATTCCATGAGTTAGTAGAAGTGATTCTAAATCCCAGGTTTCTGACATTTTGTTCAAGGATTTTTCAACCAGTCTGACACTGGATTCAACATATGTATTTCTTTAAAAAGGGCTCTAACATAATGCAAATAAAATTCAGATCAAACACTTTTATAATCACTTTTCCTCTTTCTCTGCTTACTTTCTGAATAGTGCTGAGTTGGGGACTAATTCAGAAGAAAAATCAGACTAAATTTAGAACCTAACATGAATGGAGTTTTTAAAAGTCAAGTGAATAATCTAGACTTACATTCATTTTAGCAGTTGTTTCTAATGAGTGGGTGCTTTAATATGGTTACTTAATTTAATCTTTATAATAAAATTGTGAGATGAGTTTAATCACCTTCATTTTAGAGTTGAGGAAAATTATCTTTTCAAAGATTTAGTAAAACACCAGAGTCATATGGTTAGTATATGACCAAATTTGGATTAGAACACCCTGGTCAAATCTTTGAAGCCTCCACTCTTTTTTCCTTTTTTTTTTAATCACAGTATTGTTTGTTTGTTTGTTTTTATTAGAGTCAAGTGTACAAAAACAACAAAATGATTAGACATTTACACACCTCACAAAGCGATAACTGCAACAAGTCTATTACCCCTCTGACACCGTGCATAGCTATTCCAATACCATTGATTATATTCTCTGTGCTTTACAGCCCGTGACTATACTCTTAAAACATTACAGTGCAATGCTTCCTCAGGATATTTTTCTTTAAATTTAGGAATACAGAATGAGCAGCATTCCTATGAATAGACCTTCAACTGATAACTGGACATCAGATAGACTTATGTGCTGGCCTCACAGTTATGATTTTGAATTTTCCATTTTCTTATTCTTCAATACTTACTTATTTAACTTACTTATTAAACACTCTGGACATGTTGAGGGAAAAAATGTAGAAAAGAACAATTGTGAAAGCCATGAGGACAATTATGATGGAGTATGAGGAGTCTCTCTCATATAAGCTGGAAAGCCAAAACACTGGTTGAACATTCTATCTTGAAATATGGAGGGTAATCAGTGTGTTATGTTTGTTTCTTGTTTTAAATGACAGAAGTGTTGTAATTGACTATATATTGGACTATAGGCCCTCTCTAGAACAATTGACAAACTGTGCCAGGAAGTTGGGCAAGGCTTCACAGAAGGGGAGTTTTTTGAAATGGGTTATAAGGAATAAAGACTACGTGACTTAACATCATCTCCCTTTGTTCTTTACTCTCTCACAGGTGCTCCAAAAGATGCATTGCCACCCCAGATCCATTCACCCAATGATCTTGTGATCTATGAGAAAGAACTAGGTAATTATAGCTGTGCCTCTGAATTTCAGTTAGATTCTCTTAAATACGAGGAATAAAATGTCACATAAGGTAACACAAGAGAATAGATGGCTATTGTGAAACACACATGAATTGAAACTGATGTTGTCGGAAACCAAGGCAGCTCTGGGTATTAGCTCATCGAACTCATGGGGAGCTCAGGGGTTCTTTGCTTCTGTCTCAGAAGCTGCTCCCTTCTTCCTCTGCGAACAGGTTTCCTATCCTGATGAGTGATACCTGTTGGATGCAAACTTTAGTTCACACAGAGCCTTGGTTTGCCAAGGCTGCAACATGAGCACAAGACGTCCTTTAAGCTTCTGTTCCACTATCAAGGGGCAGGGTTGGAGCTTGGAGTCAGGGCTATGAAGGTAATAGGTAACAACTGACAGAACTAATACCCCCTGATTCAGACCACTATCAAATGTTTGCTATGGCTGTCTGAGCCTCTTTTTAGTTTTCATAATTTTTCATTCTAAACAAAAATCACTTGTAACTGACCAAGTAAGTTATCATTTGTAAGTCTTCTGATTTTAAACCTCCCACAGTTCTGTTGAAAACCATAGAAAATTTTAACATTTTCTATATTGTATCTTTTAAAATAAATTCACTGCAATCCCAATGACAGATATTAAATAACATTTGTTTAAAATGTACTAAAGGTAATAGAGGTAGTGACCAACATAGATGGGGAACAACCATACTCCCCCACCCCCCAAATTAAGATAAGGTTTCAAATAGTGATCTGCCTTATAAAAACACAAAGAACACGCTAAGGGGCCTGCCAACCTCAAATGGACCAAATTTCCTGGAATTAATAGTGGCTTTATATAGCAATATCAGCGTTCTCCCTGCTATCGGGGTAAATACTTACTAATCAATCATCTAGGTTTGTTTCATTTACTTATCATATTATTATTACAAAAGCATGCCTGAACTCTTGCTCACTTTAACTTCCTAAATACTGATATGGAAAACTGGAGGGGAAGGCAGAAGAACCATGTATTATAAGAAGGATAGAGTATGGCCACTAAGTGAGACAAACCTGAGTTCAAATTAGGAGGACGATATCATTTATCACCTCAATCTGGACGCTTTTTGAGAGTGAAAGTAATCAATTAGCAGCTAAATAGGAAAGCAAGCATATAACAGAACCGTCCTGGGCAAGCTGGAATAAGTCAGTCGAGGTCAAATCCTGGTCTACCACTTAGCAACAATTTGATCTAGAAATGGCATTTCGCATCTTTAAGTTTCAGTTTTCATAGCTGTAAAACATGAATTTAAAAACCTCATAGTATTTTGTTAAAATTTAATTAGAACACTAATAAGTATAAATATTTTGCACAGTAAATTATACAAATTTCTCAGTGAGTGTGCTATTATTATTATCACTAACATTTTCTGCCTAGATATTCCCCAACCTAGTATTCTATCCCAGAAGCATAATGTAGAATTTCTATTTGTAAATTGTCTTTAAACTTATTGGATAACGAGCCTTTCAAGATGCGGCCTGCTCGGCCAGTCCTCTCAACGAGGGCATTGTCCCATCTTCTCTGTGCAAGGACCAAAGATCTGGAGAGCCTTTCTTTAGTCATCCTTTGTTTGTGAGGGAAATAACAAAAAAGAGTAGTCTATGGAAGTTTAGGGCTAAAAAGGGTGTTGTCAGAGCCTTTTTGAACAAACACTGTCATTTTATAATATGTATAGATTGTATTAAAAGATGGTCATACTAGTAATTTTATATAAAGCTGAGGTGCTTCTTTCTTGGTTCATTTTGCAGTGAAATATATATATATGCGGCCCACCAGAAAATTAGTCCAAAGTAGGATGTTAGGTACACGTACCATTTATCGCCTCTGATTATTCACAGAGTAGAACCAATATAGATAGCCAGCCACATGAAGGTTACAAACTAATGGATTAACTCATTTTTTTTAGGAGAGGAGCTACTTCTTCCCTGTCAAGTCTTTTTTACTTTCCTGAAGGACTCTCGCAATGAGGTTTGGTGGACCATTGATGGAAAAAAGCCGGACGACACCACTATTGACCTAACGGTTAATGAAAGGTATCATTGTTGCCGTCAAGGGGGTGACTGTCACTTGTCCCTTAATCTCATGCTCTCAGGTGGATACTACTCTACAAAAATAAAAATTTTAATTTTTTTCTGTCATTAAAAAGAATCAGCAAGATGCTCAAGTCGTTAATGGTTGCATCCCAAAGCAGGATTACTAGCCTTGCAATCTGAGGCCAAGATGCCATTTTACAATCACACCTTTATGATACCTCCTTGAAAGTAGGTGGAATGCGTATTTCACATGAATGAAAAGGTGGCGATATAGGGTTATGGAGAGATGAAATCCTGTCTGTGTGTCCCTGTTCTTCTCTTTCTCAAGTCTGGAGTCTGGCCTATACGTATTTGTGCTTCACATAATTGTGTTAGTTTCCTGTCTTGCAGTTAGCATGTATTTTCTACTGTCCTCCGTGTCTTCCTTAATTGACATAACATATATGTCACATTGATAATTGATAATCTTTTTTTAATAATGATTAAATACATTTATGTTCTTTAAATTTTATTTTTAAAGTGGATGGGGTGGTCATATACCTCCCTCTTAAAATAGCAAGTTGGGTCATTTTATTTTTAAATAAACATGATTTTTTTTTTTTAAGGAGGTTCAGTAGGCAAGGAGGGAAATACTGGTCTTTGTAAATGAATGAAGCATACAAATGCAAGAGGGCAATTGGTTCACTGCAACAATTAATAAAAATCGGCAGGTGACTAACAACATGACAAAGTATTTTTAAGACCTTAAGCCTTATCCCCAATGTGTAAATAGAGCTTAGGCTACTTAAACTTTTAGAATTCAAAAGATATTTCTTTCCTAGTAGTAAACTCAGGTTTTGTGCAGATATTATCAAATGTCTGTTTTGCATCAGGTGTACTGTGCCAGGTGGATCTTATAGGAATAGCAATGATAGAGCAGAAATTTCAATACCGTAATGTGATAAATGCAGTATTTCCATGTTATAGGAAGATTTAGTTGGGGACTCCAGTCAGTTTTGGGGGGTTAAGTAATGCTTCTCAGATCATACAGTACCTAAATAAAGCTTTGAAAGAAGAGTAGAAATAAACTAGGCAAAGAAATCAAGCAGAAATAAACTCAGAGAAATAGAGAAAAAACTGATGGTTGCTTCATGGAAAGGGGGAGAAGGTAAAGGGATTAGGAAAATACAAATTAGTAGTCACAGTATAGTCACAGGGATATGAAAGAGAGTTTGGGAAATATAATCAATAATGTTGTGAAGATTTTGTAGGGTGTCAGATGAGCACATGTCTTATTAGGGAGACTACTTCATTGACTGTATAGTGCTTGACCACTGCACTGTACACCTGAAGCTGAAGCTGAATAATATTGAAGGTCCTCTGTAATTAAAAATATATATACATATATATGCATATTTATATGTATATGTATATAGTCATGGGAAGTACATGCATAGGGAATATAGTCAATGGAATTTTAACAGCTATGTATGTCAGAGAGGTAGTAGAGTGGGGGAGTTATCACTTTGTGAAGGGGGTAAATCTCTAACTATTACATTGTTTGTATACCTGAAACTAATAATAATTTAAAAAAAAAAGAAAAAGAAATCAAAAGAATGTTCCTGGTAAAAAGGAACGTCATATGCAAAGGCCTGGAGGTTTGAGAAGCAGAACATATTTAAAGGTACAGAAGGAGCTTCCTGAAATTGGGATCTTTTTGCAGAAGAAATTGATGAATGATGTGGCTGGAGGCACAGAGGGCGAGTTATTGATCATTTCAGGAATTCTGAAGACTGTGCTTCCTATCCTCATAGTAGTAATGAATGATAATAATGAAAGTCATGGTGTTTCTCCATGAGGCTATTGAAACACCACTCACTGTTCACAGTTGAGCAGTACGGTTAAGCTTAGTCTGCACTCATCACAGCCCTTAACCAAGTTCTCATGACTGACCTTAAGCCTTATCACAAGGAGAACCTGGCCATAGTCGGCCATAGGAGTTATATGCTATTTTTCCTTTTTAGCGAAGTAGTTTCAAGGGATTTTAAATCTGGATCTTGGACCCAAAGAACTTTATCTCTGATTTGCTGAGACTTACATATACAGTAAAACCTTGGATTGTGAGTAACTTGGTTTACTAGTATTCCCCAAGACAAGGAAACATTTCTTATAAATTTTAACTTGGTAAACGAGTGATGTTTTGCAGTACAAGTAGTTTGTTTCTGGAACGAATTATGCTCGCAAACCAAGGTATTACTGTATTTATTTTCACAAAGTTTACTTGCTCTGAGAAATTTCTTCTTTATGTTAGGATTTAACTGTGAGGTTTCAGCATTATGGCTACAACAGTCTACCTGCATTCAAAATTCAAGCTTTGGGAAACCCTGAAATGCATCAGCTATTGCTGTGAGATAATAATAGCCAATATGAATATTTATTAAGCATTGTTCTAATACTTATGCATTAACATACTCTATTTTCAGAATTCTTGAGTAAATTAATACATATAATGCACTGTGCAGGCATTGCTACTTTCCTCTTTTTCAAAGGAGGATCTGAAAACATGGAAAGATTAAATATTGTGCCCAAATAGCCTGTAAGTGGCGAAGCCTGGACCAAAACCCAAATGGATCAGGCCGCAGAAACTTCTCTCTAAACCAACAGAGCATCCTGCCTCAGAAGTTTGAGGGAAGGAGACATTTTGCTTTGAAGAGAGATCTATATCTATAATATGATGCCAACACTGGGATTTGACCTAGACATTGGGAGTATGTGTAATATAGATGGTAAAGAATAATATTGGAATCTAGAAGCTATTCTCCTTATGTAACCATTGGATCACGAGGCAATTGACACTATTGATATTGCATCTGGCCTCACCTAGGGGCTCTCTGGTTGTCTGCTTCCTGATTTGCACATAGCACATGGCCCGTGAGTCTCACTAATGCTCTGATTTTCTTTCCCGTTTCTAGTGTCAGCCAGACTAAAACAGAAGATGAAACAAGGACTCAGATTCTGAGCATCAAGAAAGTTACTGCAGAGGATCTCAAGCGCAACTACGTCTGTCATGCTAGAAATGCCAAAGGGGAGGTTGAGAAGCCAGCCAAGGTGAAACAGAAAGGTAACGGATGCACGCAGCGGACGAGCCTGGGAACTCCAGTGTAATGCAGCGGTAACTAAGGAGAAAAGGCGAGATTGAGAGGAGAGCTCCAGCACTTAGCACATCTACCACATAGTCATGAATCAAAGTTGCATGAAAAATCAGGAGAGAGTTTCCATCTATGTAAACATACTCAAAATAGTTTTCGTAACTTAGTGCCTAAATGTGGCTAAAAAATCCATAATTTTGATAATAAGGCATAATTTCACATCTATACAGTCATGAAAAATGAAAAAAATGAAGACAATATTTAAAGCTACCAAAGATATAATAAAACAGGTAGAGTCACCTAGTGTTGGTGAATTGTAAAGACCCCTTTAGCAATCATTGCTGGCAGAGTTCAAGAGTCATGAAAATGATCATGCCATATGACAATATTTTCAGAATTTTTCCTGAATGAATAACTTAACAGAAAGAGAATTATGTACCAATAAATATTCTCAGAAGCATTATCTATAAGAATGAAACATTATAAATAGCAATCATCTAATTGTATGCAAATAGTAATATATAAAATATGAATTCTCAAAAAAATACAATTTTAAAATGATCATGTTAAACACTGTGTATCAATATTCAAGCAGGTTTATAATATATCACTAGCCACAGTTGCTAAAATAAAAATTATTTAAACCATGACTTAAAATGGTGTAAAATGATTTCTGTGTTGATATTACTATATTTTTCTACAATAAATAAAAATTATAAAGCTTTCTTATGTGAGCTGTGACTCCTGAAACAGACTGTGTCTAAAATTCTATTTGGTTCTCTCACTGAACACAGAACCCAGACAATTAATCCCTTCAAAAATGTTTTTCAATGATCTGGAGAAAAATAATGATGATTTGTCACACATGCAGTCAAGTCATTCAGAATTATCCTGGATCCCTGTATCAAATGGAGCCTATAATATTTCTACCAAAAGTGAAAAAAAAGTTAATTCATAACTGTTACATTTTGCAATGAGATTTAAATCTTTTTCTGAAGCTGATAAAAAAGGAGGTCTGACTTTAACAGTTTTATTATAATTTAGAAAGCAAAGAGCAAAATCCGAAAGTACATATGCCTCTTAAGAAGTCTTAGTATGTTGATTCTGTATAGTTACTAGCCTCTGCTCCTCAGAAGTCAATGTAAGGAAAAAAGGCCCAACTACATGATATTATATAAGGCAGTGTTTCCCAAAGTTAGCTCCTAAGAACACTGAGGCTCTAGACTCAGGTGGCCTATGTTCAGATCCTGGTTTCTGTGCATCCCAACTCTGTGAGCTTGGAACAGACATTTCACCTCTCTGAGCTTCAATTTATTTATATTTAAAGTAGGCAAAATAACACCATTACATCATAAGGTTGTTCTGAAGTTCTCAGCACAGGTACTGGCATATATATATATATATATATATATATATATATATATATATATATATATATATATATATATATATATATATATATGAAATGTTAGCTCTTAGTATTATTTGTGCAAAATTTTCATAGGCGTTATTTGACAAAGACTTGTATAGTCAAGTATCATTGAAGTCAAGGTTAAACAAAATCAATTAACTTACTTTAGTTCAGGGCCTCTTAATCTTCAGCATATTAACGTTTGATATGAATATCTGCAGGGGTTCAAATACAGTAGGCGGGATTTTTTCAAATATATTTGACTCCAGATTCCTTAAGTATGGAACATTTTGTGGGACTTGTCGTCAGAGCCATGTGTTTTGGGAAGCAATTATGGAGGCAGACATAAATTAATAACTTATTGTCAGATGGATAGGATCAACACAATCAGTTAAAATCATGCTGAATCTAGGAGTGATGCAAAAGTCTGCCCACCAGAGCTAGCCAGGAAGTTCTCCTTTCCCAGAAGGGCATGCTCTGAATGGTTTAGTATGAATGCCATCAGGAATGTGAAGTGACAAGCACATGCACTGCACCAGATTTTCTCTTATTCATTGATTTTTCAGTTACATTATGATATCCTTTGGTGTGGTTTTATTTGTATGTATCTTATTTAGGGTTCTTTAAACGTCTTGATTTGGTGAGTTTATATTTTTAATTTAATTTGAAAACAATTTAGCCATTATTTCTTTACATAGGTTTTGTTCATCCTTTCATTCATTCTTTCCTTTTCTTCTCATATTCCAATTAAATTTAAGATAGAGTACTCGGTGTTGTTCCACAGGTCACTGGTGTTTTCATCATTTTTTTTCCCTCTGTGTTTCATTTAGAATAGTTTCTAGTGTCTACTGATCATTTCTTTTTTTTGATGTCTAACCCGCAGCAGTTTGAATCCAAAAATTTTATTTTTCAATTTTTGAATTTCCATTTTTATCAAAATATCTATATTGATATTTCCTATTTGCTCTTGTAATGTTCATGGTCTTTTAAGAAAATCAACAAGCATATATATATATATATATATATATTACTCATTTTAAAGTGTTTATCTGCTAATGCCATCATTTTTGTCAATTCTAATTCTGTGTTTATTGACTAACTTTTCTCCTGATTATGGGTCTTTTTTTTTCATGTGTCTAGATTTTTGTTTTGTTTTGTTTTTAGCTAAGCCATCCTGCCACCTGTTGGCAGCTCAGCTCGGGCCAGGACTCGAACCGCTGTTGTTCAGAGCTCAAACTCTTGAGCGAGCTTTTAACCAACTGAACCACTCAGCCAGCCCAATGTGTCTAGATTTTTAATCTTATATTGGACATTATGGATGTTACATCATTGAGTGTCTGAATTTTGTGAGTGTTAAGTTTTGTTCTAGCAAGTAGTTAATCTACTTACATAACAGCTTGCTTGTTTTTGAAGCATCTTGCTTATCCTTGCTAGACTAGGTCTAAAATAGCTTTTTCTCTAATGCCAGATTGGACCTATTTCTAACATAACCCAACTGGGGTTTCTAGTTAATGCTTGAGGAGCTAAATTTCTTCACTCTGAGTGAGCTTCACTCAAGTGTTTTCCAGCCCTGCATGTACTCCAAGAATTGTTCAGTTGCCAGCTCTCTCGTAGTTGTTGCCTCCCTGGTCATTTTTCTTTCACTGCTAGCTATTCTTTGCCTCATCTTGTGAAGTGTCATCCTTAATATGCAAAGCTTTGTATTTTTCCAAATACTTGTGTATTTATAGAGGTCCTTTTCTACACATTTTTCTTTTCTTCAGTCCCCAGGCCTGTAAGTTCAGCAGTTCTGAACTCTAAGCTCTGTCTCCTTAGCTCAGTGTGACTACTGACTGTGCTTATGGTTTTCCCCTTTCTCTGTAGCAGTCCCCAAGGTGCCTTCAGGCAGTAAGCCTGTGTGATAGTTTTTTGTGCCCATCTCTCACAGATCATACTCCTGCTTTTACTTTACTTTTAAAACTGCTACTTTAGATATTATTGAGGAAGGGCTACTCCAGTATTAAGTACTCCGTACTCCTCTAAGGCAAGAAGCTGAGGTCCAAAAATGCACAAGGTTTAACACTCTATGGTAGCCAAACGAATCAGGTCTGTAGGACAATTCAGTCATAGGTTTCTGGGTTACTATCATTTTCAATAAAGCATTCTCTTTCATCACTACCATTGCAAAAATCATCAAGAAGTCCCAGCACATTGGCAAAGGATAGGCAGGGAACACTTGAAAGTCCAAGAAACTGGCGTTTTGATTAGGAGAAACAATGATAGCAAGGCCTCAACTACAATAATGAGGATGAGGAAAATAATTTAGGTTTCCAAGGAGGAACAAGACCAATAACTTGAAACAGGGAAAAAAACTTGATAGAGCTAAGGTATTAGACTGGTTTCACCAAGGGTGGTTAACTGGAAATGTGGGCTTTGGAGCCAGTTATTACTATAGGACCATAAAAGAGAAAAGGGGATTCTAATTCAGGGAGTAACAGCAGAGCAAGTGGCTAACTTTGGCTACATCCTGAAACAGGTTGTCAGTGAGATCAAAGAGAGGGGCAGTTTAGGAGTACAATCTGATCACATTGCATCACCCCTTTCTGACTGCAACCTTTTGGTCTGAGATTGCATCAGAGTAAACTCTTTCTGCCAAAACATCAGACATCCCAGCTGGGGCAGACAGAAAATGTGGACTGAGGGTCACCCTATCCCTGCAAGCCAGCAAAGCTTTATATGAAAGCTTTTTAGAGCACTTCCTGTATATGATTTCAGCCACTTAGAAATTAAGGCTTGTGGATTATTTATCTTAAGGGTTCAGTTAGTTAAATAGCATTAAGAATGTCTTGAAATCATCAGGATGGCCCCACAAGATACAATCTGCAAATATTGGGTTGTCAGAAAAGTCATGACGCATTTTTGCAATGAAAAACATAGAAAAATACATCATGACTTTTCCAACAACCCAATATAACACATATAATTGTAGGACACGAAACAAAATTTAAAAGCCACACTAGAAATAGAATAGGCAGTAATGGAATGAATGTGGCAGAGGGAAATTTATGATCTGTTGATTATTAAGCAAGATATCTATTGATATTTTTAAAAATCCATTTCTGGTAAGTGGATTCACTGACCTCTCTTTTTTCCTCCCTATTACAAAATGTCTACCCAGAGAGAGCCAAAATAACTGAGCAAATAATGAAGATGACAGTGGGAATTATTCCAGTGTACTGTTAACATGTACTCAAAAATACCAAGGACACAGAAATTTTGAGGCTAACTACTCAAAATGAACTTAGTCCATTTTCAACAAATTGCACTGACATAGCTTCTGGCATTTTATGATGGGGTTTTCTCAAAGCACCATTATTCAAGGAACAAGTTCAAAAGTACCTGATAATAATTCTGCACTGGTAAGTCCCAGGCTATATCTGTAACAGGATTCATATCCTGAATTTAGGATAATGAACTGAAAACTCTATGATTTGCCCATTAATTAGAAACCTTCAGGCTCAGCTGTAGGCTACTTACCCTTTTTCCCTTAGGATAGATACCTTTTTTTAAAAGGGGTGTTTCCACTAGTAATGATCAATAATTGAACTTCATGGTAGTGTTGTGCAAAGATCTCTGGACGTTGGAGTCAGGGAGCTTCATTAATCCCAGCTTTGAACAAAAGTCTTCTGTGCCTTGTCTTCAGGTGCTCAAAGAAGCCTTTTCTCACCATCCTGCTTAATATACCTCTCCTGCTAATAAAGCAGCTAAATGAAGTTGCTGGTAGATAGTATAGTATTAGATTTTTTTTAATATCCCAGAAGCATACAGTGTTTATCTGGAGATGCTCAGTATTAGATTTTTTTTTTTATATCCCAGAAGCATACAGTGTTTATCTGGAGATGCTCATTCAGGTCCTAGGTGTTCTATGGGTAGGATGGATGCAGAAGATGTAGTCTCTACCTCGAATATTGTAACTATATATTTTAGTGGGGAATGAGAGGGAATGGAGAAGCAAGTTTATAGACATATTACAATATAATAAAATCTGTCCATACCTGGATATTGCAAATCAGTCTTTGGAATGTATATCCTAGAACTGTAGACCTAAGAGATCCTTTCAGAGCCAAGCATACTCAGCATTTGGTGAATGCCCTCTGTTTCTGCTTGATGAAAATAAGATTTTTGAGGCCTACTCAAAAGGAATTAAATTTCTTTCATATGGTCCTAGACAAAAGGATGAAATTAAGACTATTAGAAGGAAACACATTGAGATTTTTGCTCCATTTATCTGCTCTAACATTAAAACTACCAATTTCATGGGCTGATCCAGGGAATAATAAGGATTTTTTTCTCAGAAGATGGACAAACAGAAGATGGAATTACACTTTCTAAAAATATTTTTCAGGATATTCAGGTATCAGATTGTAAATTGAATTAGATGACTTTATACATCCTTCCCAATGCTAAGATTCTGTTTTAATTTGTATATCATCAAAGTCTATTCCAATCATCAAATAGTTAAAAATGATTTCTATGCCAGTTCCTGGAAACAAAAAGCTAAATATTACACAGTTTTGTATTAAAATATAGTGCCTGACTCCTACCATGTTACCTCTGCCTGTTCACACATGTAGAACAGGTGGATGGCTCAGGTGCTTGGCTTATCCCACTGTCCGCAGGAGGACGGGTGGCTCTGATCACCACACAGAAATCAATTGTTTCTGTTTTGTTCATTCCAGTGGTAGCTCCAAGATACACAGTGGAACTGGCATGTGGTTTTGGGGTCACAGTCCTGCTGGTGGTGATTCTTATTGTCGTTTACCATGTTTACTGGCTGGAGATGGTCCTATTTTACCGGGCTCATTTTGGAACAGATGAAACCATTTTAGGTGAGTTATGGAAGTCTGATGTGAATCTATTCTACTGTCATCTTTAGAAACATGTTGGCTTAATAAAATCTAAATTAACTGGAATATTTAATCAGGCTATCTTTTGTTTCAACCCTTACTATTGGAAACCTTTCTAATGCATATCATTCTGCTTTCTTGGCTCCATATGGCATTTAGTGTATACGGGCACTGTCCAAATAGAAATATAATGCAAGCCACACATGTAATTTAAAGTTTTCTAAGTGGTCATATTAGGAAAGTTAAAAAGAAAGTGAAAATAATTTTATGAATTTACTTAACTCAAAATGTTCAAAATACTATCATTTTAGCTTGTAATTAATATTAAGTGAATAGAGATATTTTAGTCTTGTATTGGTACGAACAATATTCAAAGCTCAGTATGTATTGTATTTAATACTTACAGTGTATCCCAGTTCAGACCAGCTGCATTCCCAGTGCTTAATAGCCACTTGTGGCTTCCAGCTGCTGTACTGGACAGTGCAGGTCGATACTCTTTGTACTCAGGGGTGATCCAGGCACCGGAAGCATCAGAATCACATGGGAGCTTATTAAAAGGAGAATCTTCAGCTAAATCCTTGCTCTGAATCAGAATCTACATTTTAACAGTCTTCCTAAGTGATTCATGTGCTCATTAAAGTTTAAGAATTGTTCTAGTATGTAATTTCCTGGTGACGAAAATGAAACATTTAAACATACAGATTCTTAGACCCATCCCATAAAGATCCTCATTCAGTAAGTTTGTGCAAGAGAGACAGAACCTATATTTTTAATAAGAGGTGGTTTTTATAATTAGGCAACTATGGAAAAGATTGACTTATTGAATCTAAGTGTATTTTTAATTATAGTTATTTTGAAGTATAAATTAAATCATTTCTAAAAGTGTTGCTCAGTTATAATTCTAATATATTAGTGAATGAGATACTAGGACAGGAACTAGAAATTTTCTACGTAGTATTAATTGCCAGTATCTATGATTAACTATTTGCTCCCTGATTCTGTTAATTCATAGTCAAATGAACCAATCTTCACTTATTCTCCACCATAAAAATTGAACTCAGGGAGATGAGCAGAGAAGAAACATCAGATAAAATTTGCAATTACATCTTAAAAATAGTCATTTAGCCTGGAAACCTGTCACAAGTAGGAAATCGCACTGAAATCTGTCAGATACTTCATACATGTAAAAAATGAGAATGTTTAATTTACAAAAGTTCAATTTAAGAAAAAAATGCAATACTATTGAGAAACTTTTTTAATGTATATTGGATCTGTGTTTCTTTGGCTAGACGGGAAGGAATATGATATTTATGTATCCTATGCAAGGAATGCTGAAGAAGAAGAATTTGTATTACTGACACTCCGTGGAGTTTTGGAAAATGAATTTGGATACAAACTGTGCATCTTTGACCGGGACAGTCTGCCTGGGGGAAGTAGGTATTTCAAATGGGTACAAGTGATGCTACTCTGAAAGACAAAAGGGATTGTATGCTTTGGATCATGGATGAGAATCATTGCACAACTCTATGTTGGCATCCTTGGACATTTAATGTTCAATTCGTTGATGTAATAGACAGAGACTCTCTAGGAATAAAACTACTTTGTAAGGTATAGACTATTCAGGCGCAGTTTATGGTACAAAATATTTTCCCTGGTAAGCTTTAAAAACTCGATTTCAAAAAAATGTAGTTGCAGCGTAGGTTAGAGCTCTATTAAGCACCATAGCTTTAAATGTCCTGTTTACTCACATTTAGATTTTTTAAATTAATTATTTATTTTTTCAGTTATGGTTGACATTCAATGTTGTTTTATATTAGTTTCAGATGTACAGCAAATAGTCACAGGGATGTAAAGTACAGCATAGAGAATATAGTCAATAAAGCTGCAACAACTATGTATAGTGCCAGGTGGGAACTAGACTAATGGGGGGATCACTGCATAAATTACATAAATGTCTAACCATATTTAGATTTTTAGAAGGTTTAGTTAATTTGTATTAATTTGCCTACAATTTGTTTTACAAAGACTAAGTTTAAACAAAACATTTTTACAAAGACTGAGGTTTACTAAATTTTACTAAAAATGAGTTGCAGGATAGAGTGCATGGGGTTTTTCTTTGTATTACTCACTGATAATAATTAGAATATTTCACTTTGGCATTTGCTAATTTCTTTTCCCTCACTTTTATTTTCTAGCAAATCAGCACTACTCAAATTCTCCTTTTCCTTGGTTCTGTTTCTTCATTTCTATCAGTTTACATGTCTGAGATAATGTTTAAATATTTACAAAGTTCAGTATATTCTAGTAGGTTATAAAAAGAAATTTGAATTGTTGAATGTTTTAAAATAAAAGTGCATCTCTGATGTTCCGATCCACACAGTAATACACAAAGTGATGGTCCATTTGAGTTTGTCTTATAAATAATAGCATTCCTAAACCCACTGCTAATCTTTGTACTGTTGAAATGCATGTGATGTCTCTAATCTTCAACACAACAGACTTTTTTTTCTCTCTAAAATTCTGTTTATATTAATCATTTCACATGTTTTTTTTTTTAGTGTTATATAGATAATTGAAAATATCTCAGTTTAAGTCTAATACAGAACAGACTTAAATGTTTATTCTCGTTTTGTGTTAACTGGATCACTTATTTTATCTCCCCAGTCATCACCCAAAAGTCCATCTTGTTTGTATTCTACAGTGGATATCTCCTTCAGTAAAATTTTCTAGGAAATAATGACTAGATCCTATAGTTAAAAAATAAATTCCACTCCTTTTAAGACTTAAAATCCTAAATCACTTATTCATTCATTTGTTCATTTATACAGCCATTCAACAAATATTTGTCTGCTATGTGAAAATTATATAAAGATACACAGTATAACAACAATGCAAGACCCTCCAGGCAGGAGTTCTTTGAAGAATTTGAATTCTACATAATACCCTACTACATCTGCTTTGATGGTTGATCCTTGTCATCTTTCACATTCTCCCTGCTGTTCTTGCTTGGTCCTCTTTGCCTCTGGGTCTCTTGCCTTGCTTACACATGGTCAGCCTTCAGCAACACGGCTTGGAGTAGACAAATACTTTTTCCTGGATTCTTCTCCAGGCTGCACATGCTATTTTAATTGCCAGTCCTCCCCCACTACCTCTGTACCTATCAAGATTAAGGGGCAAAATGACTGCTTAGAAAAAGTATGGTAAATCAAGAAATAGCTTTCCACAACATTAGTGCATTCCTTGGAGTTGGCTCCTATCTGAATCCCAGGTAAGGGATTATATGGTCTTTGATAAGCAACCTTGAAGAGATGGATTATTCCCAAGAATTCAGTGACAGGAACTAATCAAAGCCCTTGACAACAGAATAAAATTACAGTACATTTTCATTTTACTTCTTCTTTTCTGACCAGAAGAAAGCATTTGCCTGGTAGTAAAGGCAGACACATCAGCCAGCAGCTGCCGAAACACATGGCTTTGTAGTAAAGATAAGAGTTTAAGGAGAAAGATCCAAGGATTAATTTAGCCTCCGGAGAGAGTAGAGAGCAGAATAGAAAGCCGAGGTGTGAATGTGATGCCAGCCAAAATGCCATTCAGCTGGCTAAATTTTTGTTGTTGTTTTGTTTTGTTTTTAAGTTCTTATTCCAATGACATAGTCATGCCATCTAGCATTCTAGTCGAGAGGTGTGTGGCCACAGAAAGGGACTACTCTTATTGTCCTGTGTTCGAGAAAAATGAACTTCTCTGATTTTGACTCTATAATTCAAAGAGTATATATGTTTGAATGCTCACTGGCACCAGAGAGTTGATACATGAGTATCTTTGGGGAAAAAGGACTCAGGAGCTGCTTTGGTTGGGCCACAACATGCCACCTGGTTTGAAGAAATTTACTTCAGGACAACTCATTTATTCCTTAATGTCCCAACTAATGCTTTTGAAGACCAAGCTCATGGAAGTATGTGTTGACCTCAGGCCTGTTTGGACTTGTCTTTGGGTTGGAATATGTACATATAGTTTCTATTCTTCCTGAGGAGAGTGGTGTTTGGTGAACAGTGTGAATGGGTCTAAAGATTAAGTTGTTCAAAGTGTTCTTGGTAAAATGTTTCACCTCAGTTCTCAGCCTGTTCCCCTAAGTTCCCTATGGTTGCTCCTCAGGCCCTGTACTGTGGGGGAGTTCTTGGCCAACACTAATCCCCATGGTGTTTTCTTTCCCAGTTGTCACAGACGAAACCTTGAGCTTCATTCAGAAAAGCAGACGCCTCCTGGTTGTCCTAAGCCCCAACTACGTGCTCCAGGGAACCCAAGCCCTCCTGGAGCTCAAGGCTGGCCTAGAAAACATGGCCTCTCGGGGAAACATCAACGTCATTTTAGTGCAGTACAAAGCGGTGAAGGAGACGAAGGTGAAAGAGCTGAAGAGGGCTAAGACGGTGCTCACGGTCATTAAATGGAAAGGGGAGAAATCCAAGTATCCCCAGGGCAGGTTCTGGAAGCAGCTGCAGGTGGCCATGCCAGTGAAGAAAAGTTCCAGGTGGTCTAGAAGTGGCGAGCAGGGCCTCTCCTATTCATCCTTGAAAAATGTATGAAAGGGACAATGAAAGGGGTCATAAGATCCAAGGGTACTCCAGGGAGGAAGAATTCCCCCTTTACACCCAATTTATTGTTTCACGGACAGAAAACAATTCTATGGAAGCCTCCCCACAGAGAGAAATTCAGGGTGACCGCATGACTGGTTGTTCTGCTTCTTCAGGCAATACTAAGGTTTAGAATGATAGTGCCACCAGTCTGTCACCCATCTCTGATGTCAGTGGCCTTTGCAGGCAAAGACTTGATTGACGTGAATTTTGCCACCTTCACCCTCTGTCCATGTTCCTACATGTCTCTATTCTCTATGCTCTCTCCTATCTCTCTCTCTCATAATTTTAACATTATGGGGAAGACTTGCTGTGGATTGAAAGACCCATAGTCATCTGTTAAAGATAAGTCATCTGTTAACATGGTTAGTATGAGTTTCCAGGTATAGTTTTCTTTTTCTTTTATTATTACTCATCTTAAAAATATAATCAGGATCTAAGTTTATTTTAGCCGAGGACAATGACCTAAATTTATTTTAGCTGAGCTCTTTCTCTTATTCTGCTGTATAACACACCATCACAGCAAGCCTGACACCCACTTAGGGTGGTACAGAGCAGTATTACTGTAAGTGTTTCTTCTAATTGATTTAAAGGACTTGCCTGCATTTTCTCCTACTATACCCTGTCTCAGGTAATTGATGTCATATTTGTCAACTTGAAAAATGTATCATAATGTTTTTATTATGGGAAACTTCTGAATATCTATAGGTCAACTCACATTTATCACTCCATCTTCTATCTACTGTACCTTGTTTGTATCGGTAATTCAGAGTTTACATTCATTGGCTCCACACTCGGTTCAGTCTGATGGGAAACTTCTCCTAATGGTGCTAATAGAGAAATAACAGCAGAATGCTGTTAGAGCCTTTCCTGGCTTATGACAAAAGCGCAGAACAGGGTGTCTGGCAATTTGTCTTTTAATCTCAGCCTTGCTAATGTGAATATTAGGACAGTGATTTCTCCTCGCTTGTTTCTGTCTCCCCCATTGTAAAGTGTGGAAGTTAGACTCTGACCATGAAAGCTGCTTTTAGCATTAATATTCAAGAGAATTAACTGGACCCCTAGCATTTTCCCTGTTTTATTCACTGGTACAGTTAATGCACTCACGCCAAACAAGTCGGCTGAAAAGTCAGTGTCAATGTAACTTGTTTTAGTTTGTTTTAAATAACACACTACTGTTCTTAAGATTTGAAAAAGTGAAAACTAAATCCAGAGTTTACAGAGTGATGAATATCTATATTATACACATACAAATTATAAATATATATATATGTGTATCTATATGTAATATATTACATATATTATGAATTTACATATGAATTCATATGAATTATATATGTATATATACACATATATAAATACATTAATTATTCATATGTGTGTATATATGCACACACACACACACACATATATATATATATATATATACGTTGCATAATATATATATATATATATATATACACATATGCATATGACGTTAAATATTCATTCGCACAAGCCACTGGAACTCTTGTCCAGTCTTTAAATTATGTTTTTACTGCAATGCTTTTGTATCAGTGTTTTCTACACATTAATATTGTTTGTGAATTCACAGATCATAGGCTGGTAGCTGTTGTTAGCTCTTGCCTTCCCTAAATTAGTATAAATAACCACTGCTGCAGTTGACCTGCGTGCAGTGAAATATGTTGTTCACAGAGCTTCCAAGGTCACTGCTAAGCAGTAGCCAGCCAGTGCTCTGGCATTAATGGATCATCTACTGTGCTTTGAGCACACACTTAAAAACCAAGCTATGTTAATCTCAGTGCTCAACTACCGGGGAAGTAAATCTCTATTTGAACTGTTGAGTAATAAAGGAAAGGAAAATAAAATACCTCTAAATGAGCCTCAATATCCTGTGAAACACCATAATTCATAATTTAAGGAAACCTTTACCCAGTAGTATGAATGCTGTTAAGCAATTCTAAAACCATCTCTTACATTTAAGTCCTTCAGCAGTATTAATGACCACAATAAAACATTTCTCTATTGAAGAGTTATTGATTATTTTAAGTTGAGGAAAAACATGAATTCTTGACCATAAAACTCGCTAGGGAGTCATTCTTGGACCTGATTTTTTTCTTTTCTTTTCTTTTCTTTTTTTTGCCTTAATGATTTTCCTTGTTGCAAATCACAATAATAATCCTTCACTCACAAGACTGGAGGAGACCTGACTCCAGATGAGCTTTGTATATGAATTCTTGCATGAGCTTTGGGTAAATGGGGGACAGTCCCATCACCAAGGGGCCATCTCATGCCAATACTGCATTCTTTTTGCACTTTTGGATTCCATATTTATCCCAAATGTTGTTGGGTGCCCCTAGAAACTTCTTGATTTTTTTTTTCTATTTATGTTATTGTTTTTGGAACTGTTCTTTTCCAAATGCTACAATCTAAAGCATCTCAAATTTACATTATATATCTCATTCTAAGAGCATTTTGTTTTAAGATTTTTTTATTTGTTTTATGTCCTGGTAGATGCTGAAAACAGAAATTTGAAAGAGATGGGGAAACATGATTTAGAAAGCAGGAAGAAATTGCTCTCTAATGTTAAAAAAAAAAGTCTCTAAAATTTAAAAAAGAACCTTAATGGTTTGAGATATGGTATAAAGATCTACACACAAGTTAACAAAGAACCATGATATATAGAATGTCTAATTACACAATTATATGAAGTTTATTTAATTCTCTTCTGTGTTGTAACTTAGGTGGTTCCCTAGTATTCTAATAAACAAGCACGCCATTGTATTGGGAAATAAAAGCATCACTCCACTTGTTAATTATCCATTTTCTTTCCATAGGTTTTAATATTTTAAGGTTACCTTTTTTATTTTAGTCATAAATTTTTGTATTTTCCATTTTTCATTTGATTTGTAAATTTGTTTATTTTAAAAATAAACCATTTATTTTCAGCTTTGAATTTTATTTTGTGCATGTGTTTTATGTCTTTATTTTTATGTTTGGGCATAAGAAATGAGAATAAAAATAATGATACATGTAAAAATGTTATAACCTACACTAGTTAAGTTTCTCTTTCTGAGAGAAACTTGAGAAAAATGGGAACTTCATCTCAAAAACATTTTCTTTACATGTGAGTAAAAGAGTTACTTAAGTAAAATGATTTGCTCTAGTATACCAGGGTGTGTGTGTGTGTGTGTGTGTGTGTGTGTGTGTGTGTGTGCGCGCGCGCGCGCACGCACGCGTGTTTTTAGAAAACCAGAGAGACAGAGAGATAATAACAGAGAGGCAGAAGGTTGGGGGAAAGAGAGAGAGAAAGAAAGATTATTTTAAAACAAAGACACAGCCTGTTTCTTTTTGTTCAATTTGGAGCTTGGGTAGCTTACAGTAATCTCTTACCTTTGATAGGCTTTAATGCAACCCCCAGGCAGTTGCTTTAGAATGAGAATAGTGATAGGAAGCCTTACACTTAAATTTTTTTTTCTATTCACTTATACTAAAAATATTGATTGGGTTCCTATAACTGAACTGGTTAGATTAATAAAAATTTTCCTACTGAAGATCTTTTTCTCTTTCAAAGCTATCTCCAAAGAATAGACTAAGATCAATGGATGGAAGTTACAAGGAAATAGATTTCGACTCAATTAGGAAACTACTTTAAAGCAGAGTTGAGCAATCACGTATTTCACTGTTTTTTAGAGATACTAGGCCCCCTTTACTAAAGGTGTACAGAGGTTTGATGAATCTTACTGAGATTTTGTATATGGGCTTAACGCATGGGATGAGTGGTGATGAATCTGAAGTTGCCTGAACCCTGAACATATTAAATGACCTTAGAACATAGTGGTGGCTATTTACTTTCAGTAACAGCAGTTTCAGTATCAGTAGTTCGGTCATCACAGCTAACTGGATATTACTGACCTTGTTAAAACTCTCAAGACATTTTCTTCAGTCACTTACTGATGTCACTAGGTCTTTCACATAAGTAAATTCACAGTATGATAGGAGAGATAGATTCAACAACTAGTCTGTCTTGTTTCTCTGTTTCTACCAAGGAATATAAAGTATCTTTAGCAATGGGCTAGGAGATTAAGTGTGTCAGTAGTATTTTTCTATCAACATCTATTTTAAACCGAACAGACAGAACTTTTAAAACGTATTCTCATAAGTCCACATATTAAGGCGATTCTCTGACATTTTCATCAGGAATTGATTCAGGTTCAATTAACATTAGTGTGTCTGCAGCAAACTTTATTTTAACATTGAGTTTGCTAGATATTTACATTTAGGTATCTCTAATTTGCCTAACAACACTCCATGGTTGCTATCATATGTGTTTTATAGATAGGTGAACTCATACTTAAAGATACTAAGAGAAAAAGACAGATGAGTGAAGAAACCAATATTTGAATTCAGGTCCATCTTCCAAATTAGATGAGAACACCCGGTTTTTATTTTACTATACTTCAAGTTTTAAGAAAGAGAGGCTTGCTGCTCTTTCATACATCAATATCTCAGCCAAAGAACGAAATTAAAGTCCTAGTTTATTTTTTTCCCCTAGATAAATTTCAGAGAATTATAGCTTTTAAAGGCAGGAGTATTCTGGAATATTGAGGAGTTCTAGACCAGAAATTGTGACTTCAAAACCAATTTAGTACAACACAAGGAAACTGGCCTCATTGCTATATAGCCACACCTCATTTATTTGAGCCAAACAGAATAAAGGACCCATTTCAGAACTCCCTCTTTAAATAATCTTTAACATTAAAATTACAACAATTTGCATCCTCAGATATGAAGTTTTGACAATATATACAATATTAATATATGCCATGAAGGACACAGCTTCTTTCAAAGTACTTTGTGAAGCTCTCTGAGTATAAATAGGCCATCTCCCCTCATCAGAGAAGCATTTCCTCTATTCATTCCTCAAAGTCTGGAATTTCACCATTCATATGTTTCTTGAGCATTGCCATCTGTCAAATGCAAATCCCGCACTTTCCAGATGGGGTACTAGTAAGTAAAAATTTTAAAAGCCACATGTTTTTTTTTTTTTTGGAGAATTTAGGATAATGTTTTATTTTTAACAGTGGTATCCCCACTGGACAGAATGTACATTTTCCTAATGTGACTATATTGAAGTAAAACACACACACACACACACACACACACACACACACACACACACACACTCTGCACAAGTCCTTTTGATGAAAAACTACCCATGTTATTTAAGAGTTTATCGTATTTATCATGAAACAGAAGTAGGCTTTCTACTCTCACATTCTCAGGTTTATGAAAGGCTGCTACATGAGATTTTGAGCAGCACTAGACAGATCACAGGAGTTTATAAAACATGTGTACATGCACACACACACACAGGCTTTGATGGTAAGTGAAAATTTAGAGTTATCTTTTAAGATTAAGACAAGAATTCTCTAAAATATTCGGCACATTTGATAAAACCCTTCACAAGTTCTTAAAAATTGAGCACACATCTGTTCTAATTTTCCTTCAAATTCATGTTAAATTCACTAATTGGAAAGAACAAACCTGGTCCATAACTCTTATTTTTCCTTGTCAAATTCATGATCAGTTCCCCTACAGACTTTCAGCTTGTCTTCTTCACAGGCTGCAAGGTCTGTAAGTCACTATTTCACCCCTGGCCCCCAAAGCATAGGTACTCAACCTCATGGTGTGTCTGAAGCACATTTTCATAGTTGTCAAGGGCTGTGATTTATACATTTGGATTTTTATTTTCCTTCAGAAACGTTTAAAATAATGTTGTCTTAAATTGAATAACAAGTTAAGCACTGCAGTTATCTCAAGATCTTTCCCATTCAGACCTGTTCAAATTCACCTCAGTAATTATTAGAATTAAATGCTTTGCCAGAAGTCTTAACTAATTGATTCTCATCCATTGTCAATGCTGTTGCCCCTTTCATTGATTTTTAGACCATATGTTCACACATACACACATGAGAAAAGAAAAGAAATTTTGGTTAATACTATGAATTGTGTGATGTATCCAAACATTTTTTAAGCATTGAGACATAGAACTATGTGGGTCTTAGAAGATGGTAATCCCATATTGCTTTTTGCTGATCAGACTATGTCTGAGCATTGTGGTCAGCCCTGTTCAAGATACTACTCTTAAGAAACACATATATAAACTGAATATTATTCAGAAAAAAAATAAAAGTGGGGAAGAGATTTGATACCATGTCATCTTTGGAATACGGTAAAA